TTAGTATCAGACGATGGCAATGCCCAAATTTTGTTTTGATTTGTTTTGTTTTCATTTGTTTTGTTTTGTTTTGTTTTGTTTTGTTTTGTTTTGTTTTGTTTTGTTTTGTTTTGTTTTGTTTTGTTTTGTTTTGTTTTGTTTTGTTTTGTTTTGTTTTGTTTTGTTTTGTTTTGTTTTGTTTTGTTTTGTTTTGTTTTGTTTTTGTTAAACCATGACTTTGTGATTAGTGTCAGACTTTGTCAATGCCCAAATGCTCAAGACTATGCTGTGCCTGTGCTCATGTAAAAGACGCAGCAACATCTTACAATCCTGTTTATTTTTGATTGCATTTAATTTGTAGCATTTCATAGCAATCAACAGCATTTAAATCATTTTGACATCAAAAATCATATCAAAATCTGGCATCCACAGACAATCAAAAATGAAATGGTGTTGCGCAAACCCATCCTAGCCCTTATGCTAATGTAAAACAGTGTTTTACCTGGAAAACAAAAAAGAAGTTGAAGTGTTTGGAGTCATGACTGGGTAAAAGAGGGAATTCATGGACTGCTTATACTTCAGTGCTGACTCAATATAATTGTAACTAATGGATGTAGCATTAATTAGCATAATTGGCTAATTAACGAGATGTTAATGTTGTATGAAATAGAGAGAAGGTAGAATCAACATTTTAAAAGGATCTCTCTCACACGCACGCACACACACACTCACATTTGCGTCATCAGTTGCTGTAATCTTATTGGCTCTTCCCTACTTGGCCGTCATAGGAGCAGTCACGCCGCAGGACTATGACTCAACATTTCAGATGCTGTCAGTACTTTGTTGGAGGCTAAGATTAATTTCAAAGGCAATTAATTAGCCATTGGTAAGCATGTTACACTAAGCCACCAAAATCTGCCAATTTTGCCAAATCTTTGAAAAGAAATCTTTATTATGACTGCTGAAATTGGTCTCAGATGACAAAATTGTGAGGAAAAAAGCACTGTGTACTAAACAGTTTAGTAAAATCGCCGCTCATGTTCGGTTCTCCTCCCTTGTACAATAAGTCACTCACATCTTCCTCGCCATCTCTCTCCTCATCCTCTCTTTCTTGCTGTGCTAATGAGAAGCTTACAGCTAATTAAAAGTATCGATTGCCATTTTGTTAAGCTAAACTTTTTTTCTCACCCTCGTTTAGAGAGGAGATCTCCAGAGACTTCCTTTCAGTCTCTCTCGTCTCCTCAGCATGATGATTTACAGTAGCAGTTTGCAGCACTCTCATCTCGCTCTCTTCTTCATCTCTTTTCCTTTTCTGCTCCATTTCTCTCCTCTCCAGCCACAATACGAAGACGACGTCCTGGTTGGACCCCCGGCTTGCGAAGAAAGCGAAGCCCCCTGAAGAATGCAAAGAGAATGGTTAGTGCAGTTATCTTTCATTTCTCTCTGTATGTTTTGACTCTGTTTGTTTGACTCTCCAAATGGTGGAGTTTGGATGGCCAAAGAGAAATGTTTAAATCTACTGAAATAAAGCAACTAGCCACGAGATGCTGTGTTTTAGTGATTTTACCACAGTTATGAAGAGTTGTTAGGCAAAATGTGAAGCAGAAATGGCTTATTGCTTTTATAAAACTGCAAAAAAAAAAATAAAATCTGATAAAATACCAATTTTCCTAAAATTCTTTCATTAAGTAATGTAACTCATTAGCCTAACTGCAGGCTGTTTATGGTTGCTTAGAGCATAAAAATCAAAAATCTTTTATATGACATTTATGTAACTTCAGTATATAAGGGCTATCAGTATGTTTCTTTCGAGTCAAACCTTTCTTTTATTATTGCTAAGTAAAATCATGCAACCTTTGCTATTGTTTTTTTCGAAGCAATTGGACAATTTTGTTTGGCAGACAGTGTCAAACAATCTCATAGACATGGTAGAAAGTTCCAGAGCTGTATCTAGAGACAAGAATATTCTAGAGCAGGGGTAGCCAGCACTGTTCCTGTAGGGCTACCATACTGCTGAGTTTAACTCCAACCCTAATCAAATACCAATACAACTAAACCAGTTAATCAAGTTGTTCAGGATTACATGAAATCACAGCAAGGTGTGTTGGACAGGGTTAAACCTCAAGTCTACAGGAAGATAGCCCTCAAGGAGCAAGGTTAGCGACCCTATTGTAGAAATTTGGGTTTAAACTCCTTGATGTGGACTGGTGAACAAGCACCTAAGCCAATCAGAACAGTGCTTGCCAAACTGGTCCTGTAGCCCCTCAACAGAGCACACTTTGAATGTCTCCATCATCTAACACACTGGATTCAACACTTCAGCTCATAAGTAGAGACTGCAAGTGCTAAATTGAGTGTGTCCGATAACACATCCGACACATCCGAAATATGCAGTGGTGTACACTACTATTACCTTAGCAACACAAAACACCATAGAAACCCCAACCACAACACCCTAGGCTACGTCTACATTAATCCGGATACATTTGAAAAGAGGGTTTTAATTTCAAAACACTCTCCGTCCACACTTGCATTTTCAAGCATTTTCTAAAAGTTTCTCATCCACACTGAAACGTCGGGAAAACGTTAAATTCACCTTACCGTGCATGTGTAAAACGTCATAAAAAGCTCACTGAGATGATACAGACAGAATAGACATAAGTTTTCACGTAATTCTTCTGGCAGGATCATTTTATTTATGAAAATATCACACCATTCACTGGCGTACAGCACGCACTCACTCACTATTATATGTTTAATCTAATATGTTTTGCCACAGGATAGCATTTATGAGTAAATTTTCTGTCATCTTTGCAGGACTGTAATACGAAGAGTGTACAAAGTAACATATCTTTAGCAACAATTAGTACATTTACATGCACCCACTTAATGTGATTATAATGAGATTTTGGAAATATTGCAAATAAACTTTACCTCATGTAAACGCAATACTTCGATCTAAATAATGCGATTAAGCTCATAATCGCAGCAAGCATAATCGTATTAAGCATAATCGGCGTACGCCGATTTTAATCGAAATATACAGGCATGTAAACATCATAATGCGATTAAGTCCTTACTCTGATTATTGGAAATAATCGCATTATTCGTGCGCATGTAAACGTAGTCTTGTGAAAGTAGCACATAACAGGCACAATACCGGTATAAACATAGATGTCTATTGGTACAATATACGTCACATGACTAAACATGCATCATCGTTTTCGAAAGATTCTATTTTCACAGTCCACATTACAATGCGAAAACGGCGCTTTTAAATTTATCCACTTTGGAGAGCGTTTTAAAAAAGCTCAGTTTTCTTTCACAAAAAGGCCATCTCAGTGTGGATGGAAGGCCAAAACGGACAGAAAAATGTGTTTTCAAACGAAAACATGTTAGTGTGGACAAGGCCTCGTAATGTCCTACCAACCCCCGAACAGCCTAGCAGCAGTATAACAACACCCTGGCAACCATCTACCAGTGCCATATCAACCTCCCATAAATGCTAAAAGAAACACTCAGAACACCTTAAGAACCACATTGCAATGCCTTAGCAATGTCCCACAACACTTTTGCATTGTAGTGGCAAGTTTTGCACAGAACAGCCAAGAAGACCTTAACTGTCTCACAATGTCCTACCAGCCACCCAATACACCCTAGCAGCCACTTTAAAAGTGCTTTAAAAAACACTGAGTGGTGGTGAATTTTGCACTGGCAAACACCTCTCACATATTCTACAGCAAGTGTAACAATCCAATTTTTCCTCGGGTTACTCTGCACTCTACTTCTAGCACTCATAAGTGTGTTTGTGAAATGATCTTGAGGTGAAGCATCTCGAAGTGAATACATTGTTAAATTAATCATGTCTGCAAGTGTATTCTCCGCTGTTTTACCTGCTTGTAAAAGGATTTATTCATCACCACCTTCTTCCCAGTTCACACGTTCGTGCACTAAAATCTAACTCCATGTTTGCGGTATAATCAACTATGCCAGTGCATCAGGGGCTGCTTGTTAGCATGCATGTGCGAGACGGCGCATTTCACATGTCAGCGGATTCCCGCAGTTCAAAGGCCTGTCAGCCAGCGTTGTGAAAACACTCATCACTGCGGATTTGCGCGGACGCGTGCGTTGCGTGACTCGGCCGCCCTCTTTTGTTTCGAAACTGAAGGGAAGACACAGCTCTGGATGCATATCAAAGTCGTCTGCTGTTTTCTTTAATACTGTCACGCTCATGTTCCTAGACTGTTTGTTTCCCCGCGAATATTTACTGCAGCACGGAGTGAAGTTTCCGTAGATATGCCACAGTCATCTCTCCTGTTTACCTGTCATCTCACCTCTCTCCCTGTGTTGATGTTTCTCTCTGATGGTACGAATTCCCTGGGTTTGCTAGTGAATGAATAAGCACAACTAACATATTTCTCTGTGTCTGTCGCTCGTGTTTCATTGCATTTCATCATTTACACTGTCAGCGAGCACCCCAAAAAAATATAACACGCTCACACGCGCCGGGAACAGGTGGCGATATGATTACAGAAACAGATGCATGGATGGATTGATGGATGGATGTGGCTTTATCAATTGACAGCTGTGTCAATGCAGGAATTATATTTGTTTTCTCAGTGATATTGTACAAATTAGCTAAATTAATGAACAAAATGTACACGCGAAAGCCCAACAGTGTCGCATAACAGCACACAGCGGTGTGATTTTCCCCAAGATGTTTATTCATGCAAGTTGCATGAGGTGTCACAGCAATTCTGTGCCATTGTGCATTCTTAGAACGACGAAAAGCCTCATTTTCGTCTAGCTGCAACAATTGACATTGGATTTGAAATGGAATATTCTGGTTCATAAATGTCCCCTGATAACAGCATTTTTTTTTAGCAGATATTGCTTTCAGTTTTGTGCATTTTCTCATGAGTAATTAGTTTAGTTGCTGTCAGAAGTGGTTTTATCCCTCATAAACGCTTACAGTCACATAATTCTGTTCATTTGAAGGAATCTTGGGTTTTAGATTAGAAAGCCAGAGATGCAGCGGGTGTTTCTAATGCCCAAAGAAAGTGATCCATTCATCTCAATGGCTGTTGTTTGTCTGGAGAACACAAGATGCTGCAATATTTGCTTCACAGGCACTTTTAGTTAGGGTTAGGTGAAAATGACATGTGAATGATCACTTTATATAGAGCGCTGAAATTAAAAATCCCATTTGATTTTGAAGTTGATTTTTAACAAAAACTCATAAACTGTGAGTAATGAGGTTGTTAACCGATAATACATATATTCTTTTGTTGAAGCAATCAGCCTGCATTATTTCAGCTTATTTTTTAAGAAGTCGTGTTTAACAGACCAATTCCTGGCTAAACTACATTACCCATGATTCTGCAAGGAAATCTCCACCAATCAGAGAATTGCAACTAGCAAATTGTACCAAAGAGGGTTTCCTACACTCGCAAAATAAATAAATACTTCTGTATATGTGTATATTTTGCAATAAGCTTAAAATATGTTGGTTCTTTATATATAATTTACAACTTTAAATCAATAGTTTAAATTTCTCCATCATTTTCAATTCCATTATGTCATGCTTCATGGGATTGGAGTTCTTTTCCTCATTAAAAATGCACAGTCTTGTACCTTTTTCAAAGCTCTTTACACTAAAAGTGATTTTATCGGACTATATCCTGGTCTTAACTTGAGAATATTTGACCACAAATTGTATGTATTTCAGTTAATAAATAAATATTCTGATTTGACAACAAATCATTTTCTTGCTGAGAAAAGCTGACCTTAGATTGAAGTGTCATAAACAATATTAATTTATCATGACTACATGAATTAATCTCACCAGGAGTTAGCTACAAGTAAGAAGTTATAGTCTTTATAGAATGTTCTCAACTCTCTTCCAAGCTCATAGTATGCCTGTGTGTGTTTGTTATC